GCTGCTGCTGCTGCTGCTGCTGTGGAACCTGCTGTCGCTGCGTTTCAGGGGAATCTGGAGATGTGCCTGCCTCTCCACCAGCTGCTGCTGCTGCTGCTGCTGCTGCTGTTGCTGCTGCTGGCAAGGTTGCAGCAGCAGCAGGGGGAGGCTCTGGGGTCTCGTTAAGGAATATCCTGAAGGCCTGCAGGGAGGAGAGCAGCACCGGCAGGGAGGCGACAACCCCCAAAACGAATTCATCTTTGAGCTCAGCAGACGGAAAGGGGCAGCCGCGCAGCGTCTTTGCTGCTGTTTCTGCTGCTGCTGCTGCTGCAGTAACAGCAGCAAAAGGAAAGACACAATCATCTAGGGATCGTGCAGATCGAAGAGCTAAAACAGCAAATATATCTCCATAGAGAGAAATAAGCCCCAAAATAAATGCATGCACAGCCGGGGGAATCTCTATAGCCGCGGGAATATATGAAGAGTTCAACTCCACCTGCGACACAGCTAGTAGTGAGAGCTGCCTAGACACCCGAGAGAAGAAAGGAACGAAAGCCTGAATGAGGCGAAGCACCTCTTCTTGTGTTTCTGCACTCAAAATGCTCGTCTGCGGGCATTGCTGCTGCTGCTGCTGCTGCTCATCATCTACACCTGCAGCAGCAGCTGTTGCAGCTGCTGCTGCTGCCACCGTGCGCTCGTGAATCTCTGCATGCACCCGCCTAGATACAGCATCCAGCTGCTGCTGTGCTGCAGCAACAGCAGCAAGAAGCGAAGCCTCCACCTCAGCCCTCAGAGCCCCAGACGAGACCGCTTCAAGCGACACACAATCCTGCCCCCATTTCTTCTCCTGCGGCTGCTGCTGCTGCTTCTCCTGCTGCTGCTTCTGCTGCTGCTGCTGCTGCTGCTTCTGCTGCGATGCAGCGAATGAACCCGAAAAGAGAGACGCTGCGCGCGGATCAGACTGCAGCAACTCGTGCACCTCAAGGCCCTCAGCAAGCACTGCAGCAACAGCCTGAGACCGCAGGTAATCCAAAGACGGCAGCAGGTCCTGTTCTCCTTCTTGCTGCTCCTTCTCTTGCTGCTGCTGTTGCTTCTGCTGCTGCTCCTGCTGCTTCTGTTGCTGCTGCTGGGGATCCAAGTCGTCAAGCAGCAAAAAGAGCGCGCTCAAAGCAGCAGCAGATCCCTCCCCTCTATCTACATGTGCTGCTGCATCGTCTGTGGCAGCTGCTGGTGCAGCAGCAGTTGCTGCTGGCAGCTCTCCCCTTGCTGCTGCCGAGTGCCGCTGCAGCAGCATTAACCAGGCCATGGCCCGTTGCAGTCTGCTGCGCATCTTATTCCCTGCTGCCGGTGCTGCTGCTGCTGTTGTTGTTGCTGCTGCTGCTGCTCCGGTAGCTCCTTTCACGCTCCCGCTGCTGCTGCACTGCAGAGCTGCAGCGACTGCGTACAGCAGATCCCCTGCTACGTCAAGCAGCTGCTGCGCCTCCGTCACTGGAAGCTGCTGCTGCTGCTGCTGCTGCTGCTGTTGCTGCTTAGGATGTGCATCCAGCGCCATTGCTGCTGCATGCATGATAGCGAGCGCCGCGCGCTCTGCTGTGCCCCCCGTGAGGAACTCCTGCAGGGCCTTCGCATGCTTGGCGGTTTGGCCTGCTGCTGCTGAACACAGCACACAGCAACAGCAGCAGCAAGAGTAGCAGCAACAGCAGCAGCAGAAGCAGCAGTAGCAGCAGCAAGACTTGAAAGCGCTGGCTCAGCAGCAAAGAAGAGAACCGCAACAGCAGCAGCGCAGCAACAGCTGCAGCTCACTCGTTGCAGCGAGACAGACTCTGCTCCAGACCTCTGTAGGTGGCAGCGCGGTCGCGAGGTTTGCTGCTGCCTCCTTGCTGCTTTCCTTTTTTGCTGCTGCAGGAGGCAGCTCAGCAGCAAGTGCTGTGCCGACCCCCAGCAGCAGCTGCAGCAGGTCGCGCAGCCGCAGAGACACTCGCTGGCCCCACCCCGCCTCGGGCCAGCGACAAGCCAGGCCCTCAGGAGACAAGAGAGCCTCCACCATCTGCAACAACAGCAGCAACAGCAGCAGCAGCAGCAGCGACATCAACAGCAGCAGCAGCAGCAGCTCTCAACTGCACCCCGCCAGCGCCAGCAGCAGAAAGACAACCAAACAGCAGCTAGCAACGAGCAGCAGCAGCAGCAGCATGCAGACAGCAGCAGCAAAACTTGTTTGTTTCCGCTTGTCTTTTATTACCTTAAGAGAAGCTTCAAGGAGAGACATCTCTGTGCTGCGGGGATGAGCTGATGAGACACCGAAAGACGTAGCCATCTGCTGCAGCAGCGCCGTCTCCCCCGTCTCCCTATCCGGCTGCTGCTGCTGCTGCTGCTGCTGCGACTCGCTGCTGCTGCTATTGCTTGCTGCCGCTGCTGCTGCTTCGGCCGGCTTATCTGCTGCCGAATCCCTGCCGACTCTGCGCAGCAGCAGAGAACACAGGTAGTTTCCTATGCTGGAGCTGCCGCTAGCAGCTGCAACACT